GGCGAGAGACGAGGGAGAAGAAGATAAGGGCGGCGCTCTGTAGGCTGTGTGGCTAGAGTTTCGTTTTTCTCTGAGAGTGAAGAAGAGAGGCGAGATTAGAGGAGCGAGAGAGAACGAGGGGAGAGAGAGAGGGCGGCAGCCGTTTAAGAGGAGTTCAGGGTTTTGTTTAAGACGTTTATATACCCTGTATTTTTAGGTGACCGAAATACCCCTAGGGTTTCACAAATATTACACGCCCATGCCACCGCGTTTTTGACCATTTACCAAAATGCCCTTCCCCATTCCTGAATTATAAAACGAAAATACCAAAATCAGCGTCCACCGAGTTTCGAACTCGACTCTTTGGGCATATGAGTCCGACGCTCTAACCGGATGAGCTGGTGGCCCTTCATGCGTAAATGCAATCATCTCATTCATATTTATTCGCTTTAAAATTCTTAATACGAAATGTAGAATGCTTATTGAGTTTATCTCGTTTTTTTCCCAATACGTCAAAATACTTCCTAATAACTAAAATACTTGAATTTATTATCATAGCCTCATAATAATCTAAATGAAGTTTTAGTAACAAAATTCTTAATACGAGAATCACGATCAGTGGAACGTGGTTACAATTAAATTATCAAAGTCACGAACGAACTACGTGGACTTTGATCCCGTCTAACGGGTACATAGGCAACCGATAAGGTTCGAATCCAATTAACCAATTAACTTTTATCTTTAAATTGTACGTCAGTGGGCGTATAATTAAATTATAAATAATATGATTAAAATTAATTATTGGTCCAGTGGGACCCTAAAATTACAACATTATTATCAAAACACACCTAACTCATAGAAACTTATCAACTTAAGTAGTACCGATTTAGGGCGTTGTGGGGGTGTTGCTTAACTTCCCCACACGTAACCATACTCCCGAACCTAGATTTCTATTTCGCAGACCATGTCTCGGTTCTGACCCAAAGGTCAGAGCCAACCGACGAGTGTTCGATCCACTCCTAGTAAGATCGATGGCGACTCCCAAAAATGCCGACGCGACGACATCGGACCCCCCCCGGAGGGACGGTTGCGACAGTACAACCTGTCACGAAGATGACCCAGTCCCATCATAGTCTTGGAGTGTGAGTCCTGAATCACGCAAAGATCAGCAAAAAAGGTTAATGTCACAGCATTGTTCTTTGTCAAGTGACTGACTGAAAGCAAATTACACTTGAAAGCAGGAACAAGCAGGACGCGGTTAAGCCGCAGGGTGAGGACCCAATTGTGCGGATCCTATACCAGGACCGACAGACTCGAGCCATCAGGAATGCGAACCGGCGAATGATAGTCCTTAGTACTCACCTTATCTAGCCAACTAGAGTCATGCACAATATGCTATACATCCTGAATCGATAACCCATTCAAGAGGTACATGAGAATTACCAGCCATGTGTGCTGTAGATTATGAAACTGGAGGTGCGGGCAGCGTCAGTAGTTGTTTCAATTGATCAAACTGAGCTGCCGACAGACCTGGGATTGGACTCTCTTTAGCCTCCACGTTTGCTGCACGCGGTTGTGGCTTCCCATCAGTCTTCCCACGTCGTCCATCACTCTCGTGCTTGGCTTGATGACTCTTTCCTTGATCAGTTGGGTACCCAATCAGTTTAAAACATGTCTCCTTCGTGTTGCCTTTCTTGTTGCAATGACTACAACGAAGAGGTTCCTCTTCAGTTTCTCGTTCGCGACAAGTTTGGAATGTTGCTGCTTCAATCGGCGGACGACATCCACTTGTGATGTGTAGCTGTTGCTCATCAGCCGCAACCAGCTGATAAGCCTCTGCCAAAGATGGTGTTGGCTTAACGCTTAGGATTTGCCAACGTACAACCAGAAAAGCATCGTCCAACCCTAGCAAGAAATCAAACAGGCGCTATGTTTCCTCCTTCTCCCTTGTCCGTCTCTCAACATCACATGTACAGGTACCACAAGTACAACGTGGGTTTATAGTGACTGAGTGAAGCTCATCCCAGTAGGTTATGAGCTTGGTATAGAAGGAAGACACAGAAAGCTTTTCCTATCGCAATGAGCCGATCGTTCTATGAAGTTCATAAGCTCTTCCCGCTGAACCCTTTCCAAACCGTTGCTGGAGATCCATCCATATGTCACGCACTGTTTTGGCAGGCCGGACACTATTTCTTACTTACTTGCTCATGGTTGTCTTCAGCCATCCCTTCACCGTAGCGTCACAACGTCCCCAAGCATCATCCCTGACTCCTGGACCCGCTTTGGAATGAGGAAAACTACCATCAACGAACACCAACTTGTTCTTGATAATTAGGGTTTCCGTTGTATTGTTAACCCATTCGTTGTAATTAGAATCATTCATCGCTCCCAAATAATTGGCATGGATTTCCTGGCGGGTGGAGATAGGGTGGCGAGATTAGTGCAATGGTATCCACGTCGGTGACGACGGGCTTGCAACCCGAACCTCCATCTTCCCCAGTAGGTCATAGTTGCAAGAACATGTTTAGATCACAACATGCTCTGATACCATGTAAAAATCTACTAAACGCGGAAGCACAACATAATGATTCACGTGGTTTCCCCGTTCGATGTGAACGAGACTACTCTATGGAGAGTCGAAGCTCTCAGGTTCTTTTATTTCTCATTGCAGTATACATGCTGCACATATGAGAGTTGGTTTGGCAAAGCAAACCTCAACTCCTAATATACCCCGTCAACTAATCTCCATGGGTAATTAGGTTACAAGACAAATAACCAAAAAGGTCCTCAAAGTAAATAGAATGTACAAGGAGGGACACGGTTCAACAATAATAGTTGAATACGTTAGTTTCTTTAGCAGAGTTATCTATAACGTTCGTTTAAAGGAGTTGTTTTACCTCATTATTCCCTTGTTAAAGTCAAATTAGGCAAGTAAGTATACCGAGAGAGGATATAGTGCCAACCTCATTGAGGTAGAATCAAGGATAGTTTGCATATTCTTTGGATTTGGTTAAATTACACGTTGAGTCACTCAAATTATATAAATCTTTCACATTTGCCATCTGAATTACTTTTTTTTCTTAATCGCCACTAACTTTACGAATGGTTTCACCGTTAGTCATTGGCCGTCCAATTCCGTTAAAATCATCCTACGTGGCAGTCAACTAAACTCTTTGACCGTTAGTTTGATGATGTGGCGATTACAAAATAATATAAAAATATATATCAATTTTAAAATTAAAAAATATTTCACCTTTCTTCCACTTCTTCCTCCGAGCAACACTTATCCTTGAATCCAATAGAACTCTTTATGAATAATGAATTCATATCCGTTGTGGAACGGCGACGGCCGTAGCAGCACCGGAATCCTTCGCCAGAAAAGTCCTTCCGCCCTGCTGGACGAGGGAGGAGACCGTCGAGCTGATCAAGGCCAACCGCGAGAAGTGGTTCGCCGTCAACCGCGGGAACCTCCGGGCTGCCGACTGGGACGCCGTCACCGCCGGCAGGCCGACTCCCCGACCCCTTCCGACCCTCCCAAATCCGTCGTCCAGTGATCGAGAAGATATGGAAGCGGTACTGCACCGAGAAGCAGCAGTGTGTTAATTTCCTCCCAGCAACACTTATCCGCTGCGGAACGGCGGCGGCGGTACTGCTGGAAATGAAGAGACCGGACTCATGAATGCAAGGCATTCCTGTACTGCGTCGTATTGCATCTCTTGTGGTTCTACTGCATGGGTCCAATCCACCTACAATCCTTTTGACTTTAATGATTCCACTTGCAATTACATTCTGATCGGCAGCAAAACCTTTAATTGAGCTACTTTGACTCCAAATCAAATTATTTCTACTCACCTCACAGTTTCGACTCCTCAAGTTCGGCAGGTGAGGAAATCACCGGGCAACGAGCAAAGCTCACGAGAAGGGAATGCGTCCACAAACAAGTCGGAGATGTTGACGGCGACAGCAGCAGCAACAACAAGAATTGGGGGAAGGAATTGGTAGCAGATTGAAGTGTGGCCTACACAGAAGTCCGGTCTCTTCATCTCCAGTAGCACCACGCCACCGCTTCACACTATTTTTCTGCCTTAGATCTGGATATGAACTGAAGCTCAATCAGGAGTTCGATTGAATTCAAGGATAAGTGTTTTTTTTTTAGCAAAAAGGACAAGTGTTTCTGGGAGGAAGAAGTGGACTGAAGATAGCAATAATTTTTAATTTTAAAATTAATATATATTTTATATTATTTAATAATTGCCACGTCATCAAACTGATGGTCAAAGGGTTTAGTTGACTGCTACGTAGGATGATTTTAATGGAATTGGACGGCCAGTGACTAACGGTGAAACGATTCGTAAAGTTAGTAGTGAATAAGAAAGAAAAGTAATTTGGGTGGCAAACGTGAAAGATTTATATAATTTGAGTGACTAAACATGTAATTTGACCCTTTGGATTTTGTAAATCCCAACATCCATTAATTTACATACGGGAAGGTAAATCCCATTTGTACTAATTGCATTTGCAAAATCAACTTCTTAAAAACTAACATTTTATTTTTGTATCTTTCTACTTCTGCTTTCGCGCCTTCCTCCGATCAACTTCATTTTGTACTTCCTCGGCCTTTGACATCTACATTTTCTCTGGTTGCCTAACAAAACCAATGACAATACATGAAAATCAATAGCAATCCAAAAACCACTTGTAGTTACTACTTACAACACCCAATATCATTACACAAAAACCTATATTACTACCAATAGCAAAGTTAGGTCATTAGTAGAACCAAGAACATCATTTGATTTGCTCTAAAAAACAGTATCCATACAACCCCTCTTTAATACTATAAATAATAAATAATAATAATAATAATAATAATAATAATAATAATAATGGAGGTATTTTAAATTCAACCACATTGTAGGCCAACAGACTGTCACTACCCACATCTCCAACAAATTCAGTAATCGGAGATAAGGAAGATTTACCATTCATCAATGCATATTCGATCTTATCACGAAATTCCTTCATATATCGTCTCCTTCATCGAGTTGTTTTGCTAGCTCCATCAAACTCTTGGTTCCTCTCTTGACTTCTTCAGTCGTTACAATCTTTCCGCTTTCGCTTCGATAATTGATCTTGATATCTTCAATAAATTCAGCGATTGAAGACGATGAAGATGCACCATCCATCAGCGCACCCCTGACCTTGTCACAAAATTCTTTCATCTTCTCCTTCATCGGGTTGTTTTGCTCCATCAAGCTCCTGATTCCTCTCTCTATTTCTTCGGCCGATACGATCTCTCCACTCTCAGTTCGGTAATCCATCTTGATCTCTGCGGCGATCTCCAGTTCCTTTACCAGCAAGAAAGCGTTGAATTGTTGTTCCGCGTACATTGGCCATGTGGCCATTGGCACCCCAAACCACATGCTCTCCAGGGTCGAATTCCACCCACAGTGTGACACGAACCCTCCGACGGACCTGTGAGCCAGCACGACCGCCTGTGGAGCCCATCCTATCACCCTTCCGACCTCCGTCGTTCGATCAGCAAACCCTTCTGGCAGAACCTCCCTAACATCCCCGTAATCAGTTGTTGTCGGGGTAAGCGCCGGTCCTCCTTCGAGTCGACGCAGGGACCACAGAAACCTATGGCCACTGCCCTCCAGAGCGCAAGCAATCTCTTTCACCTGCTCCGCACAGAACCCTCCCATGCTCCCGAAGCAGAGGAACGCCACCGATGACTCCGGTTGCTGGTCCAGCCATCGCATCACCTCATCCTCCTCTGATCCGCTTGACTCGGATGACGATTCGGGCTTCAGGTTCAAAATGGGTCCCACCGGATACACCTTCGGGTTCTCCGTCTTGGAGAGAGACTCGAGCGCATATGACTCCAATTCCTTCGCCGTATTGACCAAAATACCCTTCGTTTTCCTGAAATCCCTTGCAATCCTGTACGACGCCACCGCCCATTCCTCGTACAGAAAACCTGAAGGCAAGACCTTCCCCGGAAGCCGGTTGGCCAAACCCGGGAAAACCAACTCAACTCCTGTTGACTCGGCGGCGACGAATCCTTCCTCGTCGTGCAACTCCTGGATATGGAACATGAAGCCGAGAAAAGCGGCGCCGGAGGGGAAGAAAAGGTACGAGGGAACGCTGAACTCTTCCGCCACGTCCAGCATCGAGGTGCAGAACATGTCGAGGACGAACCCAGAGAGTCGAGCCGCCGGGGTGAACTCCAGCAGGGCATCTCTGACACGTGTCTTTTGAGATGCGATGACGGAGAGAGCATTGCCGGCTGGAAGGGAAGGTTCGTCCTCGCCGGTGAGGCGGAGGAGGTTGACGCGCGGGGTGGCTGCGGCGGCGAGTGAGTCGGCGTAGCGGGTGACGGCGGCGGTGGCGGTGGAGGGGGAGGTGATGATGACGAGGGAGATGACGAGGGTGGAGTGGCGGTGGACGAGTAGCTTGGCGAGTTCCACCATGGATACGAGGTGGCCGGCGGATGGGAATGGGATGAACACCAAATGCTGTAGCTCTTCTTCTTGCACTATTGCCATTGGTTGATGATCGATTGACCCCATATTTTCCCTTCTGGCCGGTAGCGATGTAATTCGTTTTGAGGCGCTGCGGGGGTTAGTTAAACTAAGCGGAGTTGGGATGTCCGCCTGCCGGCCGGACGCTGGCGGTGGAAGGAAGCGGATTGTCGCATGGCCGGTGTTGATCCTTTCTGGACTATTGGCGCAGTGACTAAAGACGGTCACATTTGTCCTTTTTTTTCTTGGTGAAACTGAGAGTCACACTCACATTTGTCTTTCTGAATGACCAAAGGTATCTTATTTCACTCACCATCGACCGATGTGGTGTCAAAGGAAACAAGTTTAGGTGGTTTTGTCTTTTGAATTTGCCCTTTATTTTTTCCTTTTACAATTATCTTGGTGAGGTTTCATTTTTTTTTTTTTTAGTTTGCCATATGGGAAATTGGGAATTTATAAATGGTCAGTGTTGTTGATTTTGCACTTATATATATATGGAGGCTAAATTGCAAGTTTGGTCACTTGAATTACTAGTAAAGTTCACGTTAGCCACTAGAATTACTTTATTCCATCTGTAGTCACTTTAATTAGTTCAACCATTCAAATTTGGTCACTCTTCATTAGTCTCCGTTAACTTTGGCTGATGTGGCAGTCAACTCTGATAGTTGACCGTTAACTAAGTGACGGGGCAATTATGAAAATAAAAATTAATCTTTTAAAAATTCCACCTTTTCATCACAAAAAGTAAAATAATGGCAATGAAAATAAAATAAAAAATTGAAAGAACAAAATCTATTCCCCTGACCGGCTCCAGCGGCGGGACGTTATCGAAGTAGCAAATCCTCCAGGATCTTGTTCGCCTGCTCCCGCCGCACCCTGCTGGACCCGATCTTCCTCTCTGCCGCCCTCGGCCGCTCCATCCCTGTCACCGTCTACTCCGTATCCCGCCTCTTCGAGTTCTTCTCTCCCATGCGAACCGTGCACCACAATCGCGACGCCATGACAAGGAAGCTCATGGAGGAGGCCAGATTTGGGTCGTTGGAGGATACGAGGAAATCGGGAAAGAGGGCAGGGCCCTCCGTCGTCTCCCCCAATTTTCTGGTCATATCGACGTCTACTGAGCGAAGGTCCCTCACTTAATCATGAATGCCATCTGCTGCCTGCGACCGAAATTCGCAGTAGAACTCACTTTTCCGCTCCCAGTTTCAGTGGTGGGTTCTCGATTTCTCCTCCCAATCCCCCGCCAAAAATACTGGAGAACGGGCATTGATTTCAGGTGTTGCAGAGGGATTAAAACGACTGGTGCAGAGGAAAAAAGATCGTGTGTATCGGGTGGTTCCTTCCCGTGGATCCATGGGCGCCGAACATTGATTCACATAGCATCGCCCCTCAGCTCATTGGACTATGTTGTTGAGAATGAAATGATTGGATGAAGGAACAAGATTTGATTTTTTGTTTGGGTAGGGAGCTTAATGTTTAACCCAACACTTAAGGGGTTTTTTCTCTTTTGTTCCTTCATGATTTCCAAAGATGGATGATTGTTGCAGTTCCAACAGGAAATTATGTTGAATCATTCAACAATGACGACTATCATGACTCTTGAGTAAACACTAAACATGGCCATGCATAAAAGTACCTAATCAATCTTACACGATTTGTTTAGTGACCATTATAAGAATAAATTATGAGTAATAATGAAAGAAATAATATTAATTTTAAATTTTATCATTATAAAACAAATACCACTTTATTTTTTTTTATCCATAAGTATCATCTAGGGAGGCTATGGTATAATACATCTAACATATTGGAATTAATGATTGCAATGGGGCGGTTACCTCAATAACCAAACTCATCCCACACTAAGTTTAGATAAGATCGGATAATACCTACGCGAATACGGGCAAAACGGGTCGACTCATTCTTATATATTATTTATAAAAAGAACGTCCATATTTAATTGAAAAAGCATTTCATATATCAATGGAAAAATGTAGTAGAAGGACGGGAAGGGACAAATCATGATGGAACAGATCAAGAATGATTGCCAGACCCTATAGTAAGATCACATATTGTGAGTACTCACATCTCTAAGAAATTGGGCAATTGAAGACGATGAAGATCCGCCATCCATCAATGCACCCCTGACTCGATCCCTGAACTCCTTCATTCTCTCCTTCCTCGAGCAATCCTCCATCAAGCTTCTGATTCCTCTCTGGAGCTCCTCCGCTGAAACGATCTCCCCACTCTCGCTCCGATAATCCATCCTGACCTCCGTGGCTATCTCCAGCTCCTTTACCAACAAGAAGGCGTTGAACTGTTGCTCCGCATACATCGGCCACGTGGCCATCGGCACCCCAAACCACACGCTCTCCAACGTCGAATTCCACCCACAGTGCGATACGAACCCTCCGATGGATTTATGAGCCAGAACAACCGCCTGTGGCGCCCATCCCATCACCCTTCCTATCTCCGCCGTCCGGTCGAGAAACCCTTCCGGCAAAACCTCCCTGGCATCCTCATAATCCGTCGGGCTAGGCAACGCCCCACCTTCTCCAGGTCGACTTAGGGACCATAAAAATCTCTGTCCGCTTCCTTCCAGCGGCGCAGGCTATCTCTTTCACCTGCTCCCCACGGAAGGCTCCCATGCTCCCGAAGCAGAGGAACACCACCGACGACTCTGGTTACTGGTCCAACCATTCGATCGCCTCTTCATCCTTCGACGACTCTTCGCCCTTCAGGTTCAAAATTGGTCCGACCGGATACACCTTGGGGATGTTCATCCCGCCGGAGAGAGACTCGAGCGCGTACGACTCCAACTCCCTCACCGTATTGACCAGAATACCCTTCGTTTTCCTGAAATTCCTTGTGATTGTTGTTGAACTATCTAACTGTACGGAAATTGTAAACGGACAATGAACACAGATTTACGTGGTATCCCTGGATAACCAGGAATAATCCACGGAAGAGCGCTAGAACACTCTTCGGCTGTAGTTCTTACTGATGGAGTATTGATCATCTGTACAGGAGATACAATGCACACATAAAAAAGACCCTAATGGCCGAACCCTAGCACCACAGGCACAAAGTCTCGACGTGGGCTAGTGAGGTTGCATGGGCCGAGACTAACAGCTAATTCTATTGGGCCATAACACTCACGTACTAATAACAACAAAAGGCAGAATATATATTTAACAGCCTCCCCATATTGATGCCGGTGTACGAGCATCAATTTGTCAGACAGGAATCGGTGTCGACTTGTTGAGAGAGACTTGGTGAGCAAATCTGCAACCTGGTCGTCAGTACGTACGTAGTGAAGTGCAATCGATCCATCTCGTACCTCATCCCGAATATAGTGCACATGAATCTCAATGTGCTTCGTACGATCATGCAATACTGGATTCTCTGCTATTCTAATCGCACTGGTATTATCAACGAACAAATCCATGGGACTCGTGCAACATATACCCATATCAGTAAGAAGCCGTCTCAGCCATGTCAGCTCGGAAGTCACATCGGACATCGCTCTGTATTCAGCTTCAGTGGATGACTTAGAAATCTTATCCTGCTTCTTGCATCTCCACGAAATAAATGAGTTCCCAAACTGAACACACCAACCTGTAGTAGATCGTCTGGTGTCAATACACCCTGCATAGTCCGAATCTGAGTAGGCTCGTAGAGTGTCTGAACCTGTGGAAGGAAAATACATACCAACTTCTCGGGCCATGCAACCTCACTAGCCCACGTCGAGACTTTGTGCCTGTGGTGCTAGGGTTCGGCCATTAGGGTCTTTTTTATGTGTGCATTGTATCTCCTGTACAGATGATCAAAACTCCATCAGTAAGAACTACAGCCGAAGAGTGTTCTAGCGCTCTTCCGTGGATTAGTCCTGGTTATCCAGGGATACCACGTAAATCCGTGTTCATTGTCCGTTTACAATTTCCGTACAGTTAGATAGTTCAACATGGTATCAGAGCCAGGTTCAAAAAACCGGAGGTGTTCAAAAAAGACAACCGTACTAGCGACACGAATACGCTGGGACACCGGGTCATAGCACAAGTACCCTTTATGAACGTCACTATACCCCATGAAGGCACATTTGGCTGTTTTGGAAGTTAACTTAGTTCGCTCACGACGAGGCATCAAAACAAAACATAGACACCCAAAGACACGAAGGCGAGAGTAGTCAGGAGCACCAGAATAGAGTTTAAAAAAAGGACACTCATTGCCGAGAACAGGAGTGAGTTGATAATTGATTAGCCGAACTGCAGTAACCACAGCCTCCGGCCAGAAGCGACCAGGAACAGAAGAGGCCAATAACAAAGCTCGAGTAAGCTCGACAACATGGCGATTTTTCCGTTCAACCAACCCATTTTGTTGAGAAATCCCGGGACAAGATTTTTGACTTAGAATCCCACGAGAACGGTACACCTCACATAAAGGAATGGAACTGAATTCCCACCAGGATCAGAACGAATGATTTTGACAGGTTTGCCAAACTGAGTCTGAATCATGTTTAGAAATTCAATAGCAACAGATTTGAGATCGGATTTCAGTCTAAGTAGATAAATCCAGGTATACCGGGTTGCATGATCAATAAAAAGGGCAAAGTACCAAAATCCATGTCGAGAAAGAACAGGGGCAGGTCCCCAAAGATCAGTATGTATCACATGAAAAGGTTCTGTAATGACAGTAGTACTGGAAGGGTAGGAAATACTGACAGTTTTAGCTTCAACACAGCTGGTACAAGAGTGAATTTCTGGAATACTGACGCGAGTTTTACCAAGCAAAGACTTTTGAAACATAAGAGAAAGACGAGCTGAGTGGGGATGACCCAGGAGAGCATGCCACAGATCCCACTGCTTATTTGACGAACTTGAAACAGCTAAACACGAACTAGACAACGGACTACTGACAGACCTAACGACAGGAGAAATGGAGTGCCCATGTAACTCGTCCAGATGAAAGAGACGCCCCTGCTTACTCCCCCTTCCGATCAGACTCCCCGTCTTCGAATCCTGTATAACACAATCAGACGGAGCAAATGACACAGTACAACCTTGTTCAGTAAGCTGACCAACCGAAACAAGATTAGGAACAAGAGCAGGCACATGAAGAGTATTCCGTAAAGAAACATTTCTATCCACAACATTGCCCATACCCGTGACCTTTAATTTCGACCCATTCGCCACCGTCAAATCAATATTTTGGACCGGAGTAACATCTTTCAAAGCTGTAGTATCACAGGTAGTATGATTATAGCAAGCGGAGTCAAGTAGCCAGGGTGATCGATTTTTACCTGTGCCTTGCAAGGTTGCAAAAGCAGCACTGATAGCGCACTCACGATCTGCTCGACTGTCTGCACAGAGACACCGCCACCATTACCATTCCCAGTGGCATTCCCACCATCTCCAGGAGCTGCTCGGCTGCTGCTTGCCTCCCCCGACGTGGAGCCACGCCCGCCGGCAGCAGGCCTGCGATGATTATCCCCAGCTGAAGAATGCCAGCGAGAAGCATCGGCGGCGGAAAAGCTCCATAGGCCGCCTTCTCTCCATACCCAGACCGAGAATTCTGACCCGACAGAGAACCCCCTTCTCGTGCACCTCCTTCACGCGATTCATTTCGCTCTTTTGTGCGGCAGTCAAGTATAATGTGCCCCATCCGCTTGCAGTATACGCAAAAATTGCGTCGGCGGCAATGCTTTTGTAAATGACCCTTCTCCCTGCAGTGATGGCATTCCAAATCTGAAATTGAGATTCGTCGCTGGAATTGTGGTCAATCTATGGCATAGGCAGAGGGATCACGAGTTGTTCCGAGGCTGTGTTGGCCCGCGGCAACCGCGACCAGGGCCTCCCCTTCTCCCGGGCGCGAATCCATGGCAGCTTGCATCCTCAGGCGGGTTTCCTCCCTAACCAGAGTGCCGAGCACTCCATCAAATTGGAGAACATCACGGTTCAAAAGTGTTGCACGAACAGGCTCGAATTCCGGTCGTAGCTTCATGAGAAAATCCAAGAGCCTGGTCTGCATTCGTTCAGCAATAGCTTTTTCAGTGAGAACATTGTGTGGTCGGAGAGCAGCATGGAGGAGGTCTTGCTCCGTCCAGAGTTCCTGTGCGGCATTGAAGTATTCGGAAATGGATCTATCTCCCTGTTCCAGCCGCGATAAAGCAAGCTGGACCTCAAACTGATGTGCTGCATTCACGGTCGAGTACATGACGGAGAGATGCCGCCACATACGATTTGCTGTCGGATATAAACGGAGACTGAGACAAGTAGAAGGATCTACCGAGCCAAGAAGCCACGATCGGACGCGAGCGTCGTTCTGATTCCAGGTGCGAACCTCTTGAGAAGTGGCTGCTCCTTCTGGTTTTGGCTGCGTCCCATCGAGAATGCCTAGCAGATCTTTCCCTTCGACGAACACTCGGAATTGAAACTCCCAGAGTGCAAAGTTGGTTGAATTCAGACGAACGGTAGGCCGATCAGAATCGACTATCGGAAGCTCTGATACCATGTTGAACTATCTAACTGTACGGAAATTGTAAACGGACAATGAACACGGATTTACGTGGTATCCCTGGATAACCAGGACTAATCCACAAAAGAGCGCTAGAACACTCTTCGGCTATAGTTCTTACTGATGGAGTTTTGATCATCTGTACAGGAGATACAATGCACACATAAAAAAGACCCTAATGGCCGAACCCTAGCACCACAGGCACAAAGTCTCGACGTGGGCTAGTGAGGTTGCATGGGCCGAGACTAACAGCTAATTCTATTGGGCCATAACACTCACGTACTAATAACAACAAAAGGCAGAATATATATTTAACAATTGTGTATACCAAATCCACCCATTCTTTGTTCAGGAAGCCGGAAGGGATAACTTTACTTGGAACCGGGCGGGTCAAACCGGGGCAAGCCAACTCGGCATCCTTGAACTCGGTAATGTCAAACCCTTCCTCGTCGTGCGATTCCTGGACGTGGAGCTGAAATCGGAGGAAAGCGGCGCCGGAGGTGAAGTAAATGTACGAGGGAGCGCCGAATTCCTCCGCCAGATCCAACATTGAGGTGCAGAGCATGTCGAGGACGAAGCCGGCGAGTCGAGCCCCGGAGCGAGCGAGCTCAGCGGAGACTGCCTCTCTGACTCGGGGCTTCTGAGACTCGATCATAGGGGTAAAATTGGCGGCGGGGAATGGCTGGCGAGTGAGTCGATGTAGCGGGTGACGGCGGCGGCTGTGGAGGGGGAGGTGACGATGGGGATGGAGACGGCGAGGGTGGAGTGGCGGCGGACGAGTAGCTTGGCGAGTTCCACCATGGAGACGAGGTGGCCGGCGGCTGGGAATGGGATAATAATCAATTGATGCTGCTGCTGCTCTGTTTCTTGCTCTGCCATCGTTTAAGGAATTAGTAGTCGCCCTTCCGGCGGCGGCGGGGTTTTGAACTGTGGGGTGGGGTTTGGATAAGAGATGTTGAAGGCGGGGGGCTTGGTAATGGATCGGTGGATTATTGTTTTCCGGTGAGAAAAATTTTAGCGGTAAATATTGTTGGGAATGAATAGCTTTGAAAGCTATATTGAATTAATTATCCCGTATTCTTTCTAGATACGAAAATAGATGGATAATTAATAAAAGGAATATTATGGAGATAATTAGGAATAATTATCTTAATAGATTATATTTTAATTGTGGGAGTAATTATCTCCCTAATTAAAATATGACTTATTCCCAAAGAAAGAGGGAATATTCTGGGTTTTCTGCTCCTATAAATAGGAGACGCCCCAGACCCTCTAAACACACCTCAGAGAGCAGAAACACGAGAGAGAGTGAGATTCAAAGAGCTCCGGTTTTCCGCACAAAACCGCTGAGCAAATCAAAAGAGTGGCTGTTTTATCCTGGAGGCGACCGGCTGATAGTCTGCTGTGCGAATAACGAGGCAGTGCCGCGAACGTCTTAAAGAGAGCGACCTAGTCCGCGACTCAGCCAGATCGGTAACCTAATCTTCCTGTTCGATTTCTAACAATTTTAAGACGTTCGGTTGCTGTCATCTGTACCGAACAGGATACCGATTCTGGCTTGAGCGAGTTGCATCGCCATACCGAGCTTGTTGGCGGTCGTTGGCACTGAGATTGACCAGCAGCCTCGAGAGTGTCTTCGATAAAAGAGTGACGACGGGTCGAGCTGAACTTCGTCCTGGCCGCTGCGTCCCGGAAAGTAGAAGAGGATATTAGAATTAAAGCCACATGGTCGAACTATTCTTGGAATCACGCGACGCTCCAAGGGAAGTCTGGTTAATAAGGTGTTCGAATGGTGGGTGGAGGTTCAATTGAATAACACATCTAACCTAGTTGGCGGACACAGCAGCAAGGAGAACAAAGGAGCCAGGATTTGTATGTGTTCCATCTCTTCGCCTGAGGTTGACGGAGGCAATTCTAATTGCTTTGTCTATAAGAATCATGGGCTTTGGAAGGGATTTTCACTGGGAAGAACGTCTATTCGATGGAGCAATGGTTTTTGAGAAGAAGGAATTATTATTATGCAATTAAGCGGCGATCGAAGGCAAATCGGAGTTGACATCCTTCACGGCAACGCAGCGCCCTGGTGTAGGGTACCGGCCAATAAAATATTAATAAAAAATAGGTCACTACCGCCGTGCCTCCATGCCTAATTTCCGCCACATAACCGAAGCCAAGCCAGGAGAATTTTGAACTAGGCCCGAAATTGAGGATGATCGTCGGGAGGAATTTTGAGTTTCAGCAGTGGGCACGTGGATTTTTTGTACGGGCTCACCTAAGAATTGGGCTAATCCTAAGGCCTGCATCAGGAGAAGCCTTGTGGACGATGACAACGGTCGCTAGCTCCGCTACTAGGGAAGTTAGTGACAGCCTGACAGACAAATTCGAAAGTCTGGGATGTATTGCTTCGACGGTAGCAATTTCTTTGGAGAAATGCATAGCTTCTGCTGCTGGAGCTCACTTAGAAGCCGATGGAGTTGCTTTGAGGGAGCCCTGCGACTGCGAGTCCAGTGCTACGACGATGACATGGATAGATTGCAATGACTTCTTGAAAAAGAGGTAAGAACTTAAACCTTCTTTCAGAGTCATAAATGAATGACAAACTAGCTAGAAGTTATGTCATACGATACTATGCATGGAATTGAGAAACATAGTAATGCTAAAAAGAAAGATAGAACTGATGCATGATTATTTTGACATTGAGATGCAGTTTCTCGATGATTAGAGTATAAATGTGAATGCATGCCGCAGAATAGAGTAATTTTGTCTAAATGTGTGCATTGAAGAATATATGGGAATAGAATGGGTTTATTGCCCATAATAACGATATTGTAAGAAGTACTATTATTAGTACTACACGAACCACTTAGGCTGCTCTGAAACATTAAAGTTTCAAGAATGAGAGCAAGCCGAACCAGATCCATACCAAATAGAATGGTACCCTTTGTGGTAACCATAAGATTGTAACCCAATCCTCTAAGAATGACGTTATGTTTCTCTGTTAAATTTGTGAGAAACTAGGTCATAAGACACGAAAGTGTAAGAAAAAGTTTAACCTAGTGTTAACTTGACTAAAGAAGAGGATTTGGTAATAATATTCACTGAGGTGATGACAGAGGTTAGCCTTAATGGTAACTCTGAAGAATGGTGGTTGGATAGGACCGCTTCAAGATATGTGTGTGATAAACGAGCTAAGCTCAATCATCCATTGACGCATATTGAAAGAGAAAGTGTTGTTGGGCAAGACCCTCACCACTATTGTTGATGGTTCTAGAAAAGTGGAAGAGAACTCTGCCTCTAGAAAGTCATTGACTATCCTAGATGTAAGGAATGGTTAAGTAGATAAGATAAATTCTTCCAAGTGTGTCTGTGTGAAGAATTATTGAAAGAGAAAGTGTTGTTGGGCAAGACCCTCACCACTATTGTTGATGGTTCTAGAAAAGTGGAAGAGAACTCTGCCTCTAGAAAGTCATTGACTATCCTAGATGTAAGGAATGGTTAAGTAGATAAGATAAATTCTTCCAAGTGTGTCTGTGTGAAGAATTAGAATATCTTATATCGCATTCCCATATTATTATTATTGGATGCTTGAGAAAAATATGAATTTTCTATATCCAATCTAAATGACCCATAAATATGTGATTAGAGAATCAGAATATATAGATCTGATTTATGTGGGTAAACTTGATGGAAAAGACAATAAACAATTTATTGCTCTTTAGAGTGCTCTGATTGTCTGACTAGTTATTTGAAATGATTTGAAATGCCTAATTGCATTATGATTTCACTAATTATTCGATATGTGGCATGCATGTGGTAGCGTTAGAAAATCAGTGTAGCATGATAACTAGAAGAGCATATGAGTGTGTTTTATGTTGTTAACAATAAAAACACATAGTTCCTATGAAACGAAATACTCATGTTGTTGTGAAATCCATTAATGCTAAGAAACTTCCATTTTAAATCAAGAAATAGTGGGGGTAGTGTCCTGCCTACTATTAGAAATAATGGAACTAGTGGGGGTAATAAATCTGAGTTTAAACTCAGAAGAAACAAATGAACCATAAATCACGAAAGGATTTTGGTTATGAATTTGTTATTTACACCCTAAGAAAGAGAGATCCTACAAGCCTGCTAGAAGTTCGAACTTCCAGAATTGTGGGAGAATCCATTATTAACGAAATGGAATTATTGGAGTCTAGTAAGACTTAAAATCTTGTAGAGTTACCTCTTGGTTGAAAAGCCTTGGGTAATATATCGATAGAATCGAACAAGATTTGGCATCTTTGAGAATTACCTCTTGGCAATGAAGTCATGGGTAATAAATGGATTCTTAAAAAGAAAAGTGAAACCTATTGGTTTAGCTTATGAGTATAAGGATCGCCTAATAGCTAAGGCTTTAAGCGAAAAGGAAAAATTGTAAATTTTCTTGTTATCTATTCACTATATGTAGAATAACATCCATGTATGTTCTGATTGCTAGTGTTGTGCGTCAGATGGATTGTTTAACATGTTTCTTTGAATGGTGATTTAGATAGGAAAATCTACATGAGACAACCTATAGGGTTGTTATTGCTGAACATGCTTAGGGAGTCTATAGTTAGACAAATCATTGTAAGATTTGAAATAGACTCTCAAACGATGGCATGAATAAACTGGTTCTCTCTCATGGTTTTAAAAGTGAAAATGACAAGTGCATTTAGTACAAATTTGAGAATGACACTTGCTTTATGAATGACACGTCGATCTTTGGTACAAAGACTCGTGATGTCAATATTGAAAAAACCATGATGGTTGAGAATTTTGAATGTGAAGGATCTATTTGAAACAAATGTTATGCTTAGAGATCCTAATAACTAGGAAAATACAAGATGTACACCTGCATACATGTTTGATGATGCTAGTATAAATATTTAAAGAACACCTAAGACGGTGTAAGAAAGTTAGAATATACTAGCATTTACAGTCTGCGAGAGGCAACTGATAAACATGAGACCCGATTTAGTGGGGGTACTTGGCAGGCTTACTGATTGTCCTAGTAGGAAGCATTAAAATGCTATTGAAAGGGGTCATGAGACACCTTAAAAGAACAGAAAAAACCTTGGTATTTGTTATCAAAGGTTTTGCTGTATTGCTAGGGTATAGTGATGCGGATAAAAATACCCTATAGAGGACTCCAAGACAACAAGAGGATGTGTTTTAAACATCGATAGAGAAGCTATGTCTTGGAAGTCTAAAAAGTAAACGATCCTGGCTCAATCAACTAAGAAATCAGAAATGATAGAACTAGCAATGGCTAGTAAAGAGGAAAGTTGATTGAGAGGGTCATTACTAGTGATTCCCTTATGGGAAAGACCGATCCCTCCGGTAGATGATTCATTGTGATAGCACCGCAACTATTACAAAAGAAGGGAACCGGTTCTAGAACGAAAAGAGACGACAAATTCGTCGTAAGCACAGTACTGTAAGAGAACTCCTAACGATAGGAGCAATGAGGGTGGATCATGTAAGGTCCTAACAGAATCTAGCTGATCCTTTGACGAAAGGATTATCTAGAGAGAAAGTCCAAAATACCGCCAATGGTATGTGACTTATGCCTACCGAACCACGGACTACAAGTGATGGTAACCCGACCCAATAGACTGGAGATCCCAAGAAATGGGTTCAATGGGTAATAACAAGTCATGAGTAGTATGCGAAAAGTTCATGCATAGTGAAGCATGAATCCCAAAGCAATGGAGGTTGAGTTAACAACTCTTAATGAGATCTATACCCTATGTGGGGTGGAGTACTTTACTTTGGGGGTACTCCTGATAGACTCACCTATGTGAATGTGGGAGTGAGGCCGCTCCCTATGGAACTTTGGAGGCACAAAGTTGCTAGAGCGTTCACTAAACCGGGATAACGTGCATGGCCATAAACGCACGGCCTATGAGAGAATATCACTCAATGAAAAGATCCGGCGTGCTACATTGTCTGAGATAGGGTTCAAGACTACGAGTCACCCTTATGAAATCGGAAGTGTAACCACTACGCTAAGGTTCAAATCTTCGCGATACCTTAGTTTATGCCCGATCTTATGGAACTGTTGATGCTCAGAGATAGTTTCAAAACTATTCAAGTGGGGGATTGTTGGGAATGAATAGCTTTGAAAGCTATATTGAATTAATTATCCCGTATTCTTTCTAGATACGAAAATAGATGGATAATTAATAAAAGGAATATTATGGAGATAATTAGGAATAATTATCTTAATAGATTATATTTTAATTGTGGGAGTAATTATCTCCCTAATTAAAATATGACTTATTCCCAAAGAAAGAGGGAATATTCTGGGTTTTCTGCTCCTATAAATAGGAGACGCCCCAGACCCTCTAAACACACCTCAGAGAGCAGAAACACGAGAGAGAGTGAGATTCAAAGAGCTCCGGTTTTCCGCACAAAACCGCTGAGCAAATCAAAAGAGTGGCTGTTTTATCCTGGAGGCGACCGGCTGATAGTCTGCTGTGCGAATAACGAGGCAGTGCCGCGAACGTCTTAAAGAGAGCGACCTAGTCCGCGACTCAGCCAGATCGGTAACCTAATCTTCCTGTTCGATTTCTAACAAATATTAGTAGGAGGAGGAGGTTAGGAAAGGAAGAGTAGTCGTGGAAGGAAGGAACTGGATGGTATGGAATGGTATTGGGCTTTGGTGGCAGCTTCGCAGAGACAGGGACACATTTGTCCTCTTGTGAATGACCAAACGAATATTATCGCGTCACTTTATCTTCGGCTAAGTGGTCGTAAAGTCCGATTAGGCTTTCGGCCTCTGGCGGGCGGAGAATTGTACCACAACATCCATATGTTTCACCTTACCTCAGAGGCCATTTGGTTGAGGACGACAAACAAGAGTTCGAGGAGATGAATGCTTGGCGTGGTGGATGGGCCTTGAGACTTCCTTCCCAATAATGTAAAAATAATTTGCCCTCCTCGCACCAGTTCTTGCGCCCTGCAGCTCAGAAAGAAGGAGAAATCTGTCTGGAATTGAGTGTAGTAGGCTTTCAAGACACCTGGTGGGCTGCTGCTCCCGATGGAAATGTTTCCCTTATTCATCTCTTCCAATCCTGGAGGAACCCGTGATAGCCAATGGAGGCTGTAGGACGAGTGAATGAAGTGAAGACTGTCGGATGGGAAAAGCTTGCCGTAGAAAGACCCAGGCACTCCATTGAAGAACATCGGTAGCTCGATCCCCAGTTCCTGCTTCATCTCTTCTGTGGACCCGTGCAAGGATCTGAAGACATTGTTGAAGTCATTTCCAGGGAGGTCATTCAGGAAAACCTGAAACTCGAGAGATACGTGACCTAACTTCCTGCTTGCTTTGTCTAGTGCTTTGATGAGTTCTGACACAGTGAAAAGAGTGTTGGGTCCCGAAGCGCATCCCAGATCGGCGATCGCTAGATTCCGTCCGGAGAAGCTCGAGCTGCTGAACAGCCCCATCGCGGCTTCCTCTATTATGGGTCGAGTCATTGATATCACCTTGCGCTGCCAAAAAGAAGAAAGAAGCGGCCGGAATCTCCTATTGATGCAATGCGCTAACTGAAATCTCAACCGATAACAAACAACGTAACTCGGACTCTCACTAATAAAATTTTACAATGTTATATAGTATTGGTGTTATAGGTTTTTGTTTTTATGGTACAATTTGAAATTGTACGTGTTTAACGTTATGGTACAACTTCAGATTGTACCTATACTTTTGTACAAATTCTTTTATGGTACAACTTCAAGTTGTAAAGTTGTATCATAACATAATGATATAAGGGGTCGTTTGGAAGTTGCGATAGTTTTGTTGAGATTGTCATTATGCATGTATTGTTTACAATGCATCGTTTTTTTGTTTTTTTAGCAGAAACAATACATGGATTGTTTCTGTGATGTGACAGAAACTATCACTCATTTTGAGTGATTGTTATATCTCAACTTTTAGTTGTGATTGTTGAGATAGTTGAGTTGAGATTGTTTTGTCTCAGCTTTTAGCTAATGCAACATACACAATCACACATACCAAACGTTGTATTCTACAATGCATCAAATTCGACAATACATGTATAATATTATACATGCATTCTCAACAATACATATATGTAACAATCGCAACTTCCAAACGACCCCTAAATTCTTTTATGGTACAACCTAAACTTATACATTTAAGGTATGATACAATTTCAAGTTGTACATTAAAGCACCAATACTATATAGCATAGTAATAGTGTTCGTAGCCTTGTTCATCAGAATTAATGGGTATCTATAAATTTGCGTATATCCAGTGAGTTGAGTTTGATTGGGTTGGGTTGAAATTTTAGAACCCGTTAAATATTTCTCCGATTTTTAGTATGGACACATTGTTAAATTTTGTCCATTGACCTTTGTTGGTTTTAAACTTGCCCGTACGTTTCGACTAATTATTAGACCCCAATAGGCAATAGCTAATAACACATCACTTCTCAACAAACTAATAATGACAACAACAAATCAACAATCGACTTTATTCTCAAACTAGAGAATGTGCCATACTCGTTTGCTTTTGCATGGACTTTGATGACTTCACTCATCAAGTTGGATAACAGAGTGTGTGCCAAAGGGTCTGAGTACAAAAGGAAAATGAAGATACATTTACTAGATTAGGGCCCGCCCGTTGGCCGGTTGAACAACACAAATGACAAAAGTGTTTAACAAATATATGTAAAAAAACTCATGAAAAGGAACCAATTTATAAAAAATTTAATAAGAGCGCACTTCAAATTCAATACACACTGTTAGAAATTACTATAAATTTTATTTTGTCAGAAATTACTACAAAATTTCTTTTGGGCATTTTTTGTGATTGCTTTGTCATCAAAAAGCATTATTATATCCATTGACTTCATCTTACTCATGAAACCTATATATTCACCATCGATAGTCTTTTTCTTCTCTATTGCATTTCATTGAATCACAAACTTTAACTGTAAAATGTTTGAAAATGTGAAACATCATTTTCACGCCGATAAAATTTACTTCACCCAAATCTTAGATGTTCTCAACGATTCGGTCCTTCCTCCCATCATTTTCAAAATGTTAAATTTGCCTTGTCCATATCATGAACTTTCCTCTGAGATTAAACTTTTTCGTCCTTCCTTATTTTTAAAAATTTGTACTCACTTGTGAGGTTGGTTATGTGCAATGAGTGAGCTTGATGTGAAAATTCAACTTCATTCCTTCAGTTGGTAGGAGATGAGAAGGTAAAGGTCCTCTCATTCTATCCCTATCTACAAATATTCTCTCAGTAGGCATTCATAAAAATCTAACTCTCTCACGAACTGGAACAATAAAGTCGGATTCAACAACTTTGTCCACAATTAATCACGAAACAATAAAATGGAAGAAATTGACATATAAAATGGAAGCATATGACATATATACTATTTAGCTGACAACTTTATGTTTAGCGGGTATGATTTTTTCCTCGAATGAATGAATTTGAAGTTAAAAAGAATGGAAGAATATAAGTATATTGTTACCTAACTATTGTCGTCTTTGATGTTGCAATATAATTCTCATAAAAGTACTTCTTGTAGTCTTCTTCACCTTTTCTTTGATAAGTTTCCATTAATAATGATTTGTGTAACCCATAGTTTTCTTTAATAGAAGTTGAAAAGAAGGATATATAGTCCATTGAATTTGTAGGCGAGATCCGCGTCAACTATCATTAAAGGATGTTATGCATCAAGATCTCATCTCATCTACTTGGTTGTTTGAAGATCGAAATGGAGCATTGTTTTGCCAATTAGATGATTCTTCATAGAAATAATTTATTCAAAGCATTGAACCACTAATTTGCTCTCAAGTCTCATCCAAGTCCTGAACATTTTCTAAGATTTGCTCGTTAATCCTTATTTTTCAAAAATTCCTACTCGCTTATGGAGTTCATGATGTTGTCATCGATGAGTTTGATGTCAAGTTTCAATTCCATTCCCTCAATTTGTAGGAGATCAGGAGCGGAGGTTGTCTCATTTTGTCTAAAACTCAGAGCTAGATCCAAAACCAATAGTTTATCAACTTTGACTTATGTGATCCAATTTATGAAATTTAATATGGCAATTAATTTCCTAATGTCGAATTGTCAAAATAATTAGAGTGATTATAAACTGATAAGAGCTATTGTAAATATTGTACTTACATTAATATTGTAAGTAACTTACAAATTGGTCAAGTGATCGAACCATTAACACTCAAGTGAATTAATGTTATCGAATCATTAATTATCAATTCACTTGCTTGAGTGGGCCAACAGGCTAGACCGAATTGACACTTGTTAATATATTTCTGATACTTGCTGGAAATAAGTAGAGGAAATAATTTTTGTCAATTGACTCAAATACGTTTTGCCAATTGACTCCGTCCAGTAAGAACTAATAATCTAATAAGTTTTGTCCTTATTTTTTTATGGGAATTTTTGTCCTTATTTTTTTATGGGAAGTTTTGTCCTTATTTAAATGCTTAATAATTGAGAGATTAACAAAAGGACCAAACGGTCCTTCCGTACTATGCGCAAAACACAGGGAAAATAGAATGGAATAGGTTCTACCGGGGAACCTCTATATATGATTGGGAAGATAGTATTTAATACAAAATTAAGCATAAAATCCAAAGATATTATATATGAAGCTTCCAAAATAAGGCATACACTTGACAGCAAGAATTGGGAGGGCTCCTATTCTCAATCAGACATTGCTTCATGCTCAAAGGACGTGGCTTCTTGAAATTGGAAGATGATTAAGATCCACCATCCATCAATGCATATCATTGACCTTGTAACGAAATTCCTTCATCTTGTCCTTGCTCAAGCTCTCTGTCTTTGGCTCCATCAAGCTCTTGGTTCCTCTCTTGATTTCTTCAGCCGTCTCATTCTCTTTGCTTTCACTCCTATAATTGATCTTGATATCTTCAACAAACTCAGCGATTGAAGATGATGAAGATCCGCCATCCATCAACGCAGCCCCGACTTTGTTGCGAAATTCTTTCATCCTCTCCTTCCTTGGGTTGTTTTGCTCCATCAAGCTTCTGATTCCTCTCTCGATTTCTTCGGCTCTCACGATCTCTCCGCTTTCAGTTCGATAATCCATCTTGATCTCTGCGGCGATTTCCAGCTCCTTCACCAGCAAGAAAGCATTGAATTGCTGCTCCGCGTACATTGGCCAGGTAGCCATGGGCACCCCGAACCACATGCTCTCCAGCGTCGAATTCCACCCGCAGTGTGACACGAACCCTCCAACGGACCCGTGAGCCAGCACGGCCGCCTGTGGAGCCCACCCTATCACCCTGCCAACCTCCATCATACGATCAACAAACCCTTCTGGCAGAACCTCCCTGACATCTCCGTAATCGGTTGTTTTTGGGAGAAGCGCCGGTCCCCCTTCGAGTCGACGCAAGGACCATAAAAACCTCTGGCCACTGCCCTCCAGAGCGCGAGCGATCTCTTTCACTTGTTCCGCACAGAACCCTCCCATGCTCCCGAAGCAGAGGAACACTACCGACGACTCCGGCTGGAGGTCCAGCCATCGAAACACCTCGCCATCGTCAAATCCGCTCGACTCGAACGACGTGTCGCCGGACTTCAGATTCAAAACGGGTCCCACCGGATACACCTTCGGGTTCTCGGTCCGGGAGAGGGAGTCGACCGCATATGACTCCAACTCCTTCACCGTATTGACCAAAATGCCCTTGCTTTTCCTGAAATCTCTTGCCATTCTATATGATGCAGCCGCCCATTCCTCGTGCAGAAGACCTGAAGGCAAGACCTTCCCCGGGAGCGGGCGGACCAAACCCGGGAAAACCAACTCAGCCTCGGTGGACTCCGCGGCGGCGGCGTCGAATCCTTCCTCGTCGTGCAACGTCTGGATATGGAACGTGAAGCCGAGAAAAGCGGCGCCGGAGGGGAAGAAAAGGTACGAGGGAGCACCCAACTGTTCCGCCACGTCCAGCATCGAGGTGCAGAACATGTCGAGGACGAACCCGGCGAGCCGAGCTGCCGGGGTGAACTCCAGCAGGGCTTCTCTGACACGTGTCCTTTGGGATTCGATCATGGAGACAGCAGCATTGCCGGCTGGGAGTGAAGGGTCGTCCTCGCCGGAGAGGCGGAGGAGGCTGACGCGCGGGGTGGCTGCGGAGGCGAGTGAGTCGGCGTAGCGGGTGACGGCGGCGGTGGCGGTGGAGGGGGAGGTGATGATGACGAGGGAGATGACGAGGGTGGAGTGGCGGTGGACGAGTAGCTTGGCGAGCTCCACCATGGATACGAGGTGGCCGGCGGATGGGAATGGGATGAACACCAAATGCTGCTGCTGCTGATGTTCTTCTTGCACTATTGCCATTGCTTGATGATCGATTGACCCCATGTTAATTCTCTTCCCGCGGCCGCGATGTTAATTCGTTTGAGGGGCTGCGGGGGGTTATTTAAACTGAGTGGAATTGGGGATAAGACAGAAGGCAGGGGGAAGCCGGCAGGCCGTGGTACGTAGGAAGCAAATTGTTCGCTTGGCCGGCCGGCGTTGGTTCTTTCCTGCCAGATGCCGCCGATCTATTTGACTTCTTGATTAATTTGCGCAGATACGAAAGACGGCCGCATTTGTCCTTCTGTATTACGATTTACGACCAAAAGGAATCATATTTTTGTTGGATATGAAGGCTGATGATCGGGTGGAATCAAGAATAGAATCCTTGTGGCAAACGGATTGAAGCTTGGCGCCAAATAAGTGTTTGAAGTTTGGAGTCGGTCTGTCTTAAGTTAAACTGCGTCGTTTGAATAAGTTCAGTTTGGTACCTATAGTTATGTATTGTGCTAGTAGAGTCCCTCTGATAGTTTTTTTTTTTTTGTTGTTGGAGAATTCACTAATGGGATTTCATTTAAATCAAGTTAAAAGTGCCTCAAGGGCTACAGCATCAGCTACCATCAAAGGCAATTGACCATTGTCAAAATACAGTTCATCTTCTACGGACTGTAAATGGGCTAAGAGATGGGCTGCATTGTTTGCTTCCCTGTAAGTGAACAACCATTCTCGAATATCCATTTCTTCCGCCTCCTTTAGAATCTCAGAACAGAGAGTCCCCAGTTCTGTTCTGTGTTGAATGCCCTGCTTCAAAATCTCAACAAGCTTTCTGCAATTCGATTCCACCACGATCGGTCCAACCCCTTTCTATTTTGCTATTCGAATACCATGCAATATCGCCATACCTTCAGCCAAATCCGGGGGCCATTTTACTCTTATTCTTTTGTTTGAGCAAAGATTGGAGTGCCTTCCCAGTCTCTCAGAATGCATCCTAGCCCCACCTCACCTGTGCTATTTATCCCAACATCTGTGTTTAGTTTCAACTAGGGGTGGTAATCTGTTTCCCGGTTATTGGTATGACCGGTTACCGGTTATACCGATAACCAGGAAACTCGGTTGTCGGATGGTAAAAGCAGCACACCGGTATACCGCCTCCCCACCCGGTAAATACCGTCGGTGGGACGGTTAACCGGATACCGTGACGGGACTCGCAAAACGCAGCGCTTAGGGAGGGACGGAGGGTAAAGCAAAAAATCCCTAAAAGCTAAAAGGCCTTCTCCATCGACCATCGACCATCGTCTCGTCACACTCACACAACCCAGCCGCCGAGACCCGAGATTCCTGGAGAGGAGACTGACGCATCAGCCGCCATCGCCCATCGGCATCGCCAATGCAGTCAAAATCGGGATTTTGATCGTAAAATCGTAGGATTTTAGGATTTTACTTAGGGATTCCGATCCTGATTTTACTATAAAATCGGTGGACCTTAAAATCGTTCAAAATCGGGATTAAAATCGTTAAAATCGTACCAAAATCGGGATTTTGATCCTATGTGATCAAAATAGGGAGCTTGAGCCAATTCAAAAGAAGCAGAACTGTTTTGGTGGAAAGGGCAATGACGGGAATCTTCTCATATATTTTTCCTATTAAAAGAACATTTGAAAAGAAGAATAAGAACTAATTAGGGTTCGGTCAACCCCTTTCCTTCTCCTTGTTTAACTCATCGGAAAACAATTATCATAATATTGTAAGTGTGTAAGAATTAACATCATTATTAATAAATTATTTGATTAATGAATATATTTGTACCAAACCAATGACATTAATTATTTTATTGGATTTCAGTTATTCTTAGTTTTAAATCATGCTTAGTAGATGATGTCGGGATATTACTTTGAGGTAAACTACCTAGACACAACATGAAAAACATGAGCCAAACCCCATGAGCTCTATCCCTTCCTCATAAATTATTTTGAGTTACGCATTAAATAACAATTAAAAATGATGATTTTGGAACATTAATCTTGAAAATTATCACTTTAAAGGTTATAAGTCTTTGTGTTATTAATTATTTACCTTATTAATATTAGTATATGTTAATTTCTATATGGTACTTAAAATCCTACGATTCCGATTTTACCCCAATTTTCGATTTTAGGTAAAATCCCGATTTTAACTGCTTTGGGCATCGCCCATCCGCCGCCCTGCGACGCCGCTCCGCCGCCTTCCACCCTTCCCTCTCTTGTTCTCCTCCCTCTCCGACTCAGCAGACGGCCGACGCTCTGCCCTCCCGCTCTTGCCGGACGCCTTCCTCTTCCCCAGTCGCCGGCGCTCTGTAAGTCGCCTTCTCCTTCTCTTGCCTTCATCTTTCTTCTTCCCCCAGTCCCTGCCCCTCTTGTTTGAGAAGGTGTTTGTTAATTTTGGTGCCTTGGTGTTGGTGTTGAACAGAGGCTAAAGGGCAGAGGCAGAGGCGCAGAGCTACCGAGCTCCTGGAGGCTAAACGGAGGCCAGAGAACAGCGGCCATCAACCCGCAGGCCACAACACTGCAGAACAAGAACTGAACAGCAGCAGCTAGCAGATTGGATCATTCGAAAAAAATGTATGTGAAATTGTGAATGAATGTGATGTTTGGAAATTGGAACTTTGAATTTGAGTATTTGACATTGCTTCGTAGGAATCAGGACTGAATGTTTAGTTTAGGGCTGAATTTTTGGTGGATTTTTGGTTGGATTTTGACTTCTTATTCATGCTTTCAGTTAATCCTTATTGTACATGTATTGACTTCTCATTCATGCCAATCCTATTCCTATAATCCTATAATAATAGTCAAGTAATCCTTTGTGCTTGCTAAACTTGATGTATGATCCAGAAAGTGCACTTATTGAGTATTGAATTCATTTTGCTAAGTTTTTGGCTTATCAAATAGTTAAATAGACTGTTAGTCTAATGGGAAGTTAGTAATGAGATTATGTTACCATTTGTGATTTGTGTTGGTCTAATGGGAAGTTAATGAGATTATCTAATTATGTTACCATTTCTTGTACTTTTGTAGGACGAAAAAATCAAAGAAAGCTGGTTCGCTACCTCCTTGTCCTCGAAGCTCTTCTAAGAAAGGGAAGGCTTCAACTAGTGCACCTTCCACTATGGCAAATCCACCTCCATCTCCAGCAAATCCACCTCCATCTGAAGCAAATCCGGCTACTACTACAGCTACTGGTGTTGCTAGTGAGGTACCTGGTGTGCAAAAGAAAATTGACAAGGGGAAGAGGAAGAAGACGTCTAAGTGGTGGATCCCTTATGATGAGGTTCTAGTGGATGACTATCCATTTGGAAAATGCAAACGGTGTGGGACGCTGATCAAAGCCCATTCTACCAACAATGGCACTACTGATTTGAAAAACCATCATCTGACGTGCGATAGGAGGTAGAAGGAATCTAGTGGGCAGTCGGTATTAAACTATCAAGCTAGTGGGAGTTTGATTAGAACAAAGCTAGACATGCATTAGCTATCAGGATAATCTTGGATGAGCTTCCGTTTCGATTTGTTGAAGGGGAAGGATTTAGGAGATTTATGGAAGTATCACAGCCTTTGTTTGTGATACCTGGAAGGCAAACAATTAGATCTGATTGTTATGTCATTTTTCTGGAGAAGAAAGAGTTGTTGATTGAGTTTTTTTAACTCAAAGTGCAAAGGAAGGATTTCTATCACTACAGATACATGGACTAGTGATAATAACCAGAATTATATGTGTGTGACTGCACATTTTATTGTAAATGATTGGAAACTGCAGAAGAGGATTACTTGTTTTGTTCCCATTACCAGTCATACAGGGAGAAATATTGCGGATACTTTGGCAGCATGTCTACAAGAATGGAAAGTGAAGAATCTGTTTTGCATGACAATGGATAATGCCACTTCCAATGATGTGCTTGTTGACTGTATGAGAAGAAAACTGAAAGGGTGGGGATCGGATTTGCTAGATGGGAAGTATCTGCAGTAAGATGTGTGGCACATATAATCAATCTGGTCGTCTCTGATGGTTTGAAAGAGGTTGGAGTTGCTGTGGAGAGGGTAAGGGAATGTGTGAAATGGGTGAAGTCATCACCAGCTCAGAGTGCAAAGTTCAAGTCTAGCATCGACTACCTAGAGATGGATGGTAGAAGACTTGTGTCTTTGGATGTTCCGACTAGGTAGAATTCTACCTATATGATGTTGGAGTCTGCAGAGAGGTTTGAGAAGGTGTTTTCTCTGATGTATGATAGTCCTACTGATGCTTCCTTTCGAGACTATGTGGACTCCAAGAAGGGTCTTCCATCTAGAGAAGATTGGAGCAGCATTAGGCGTCTCATGAAGTACCTGAAGTTCTTCTATGATCTTACTCTTCGTGTATCAGGTATGTGAATGAACTATCAAATTTTAAAATTCATTTCTTAAAGTTAAAGTTTATGATTTCTCACTTACATTTTTTCTTTGTATCAGGTACATCATATGCCACTGCACATACTTTCTGCAGAGCCATTATTGATATTCATGAAGTGATTGCTACTTTGAAGAAGGATGCAGATGAACAGATACAAAGAATGGCAGAAAGAATAGAGGCAAAGGTGAGAAAGTATTGGTTTGAGAATGATGTTGATGAGGAGGAGGATAACCTTAGAATAAATAGGATAGTTTACATGGCCTGTGTGCTTGATCCAAGGCGTAAACTATACTATTTGACTATGATGTTGGAAGAGATGTATGGAAATTCAAAAGGGGAAGATTTGGCAGATTATGTGAAGAAAGAGATGCCACTATTGTTCGAGGTCTACAAGGTGAAGTATGCATCTTCACATTCTGATTCCGAAGCTACTACTCAGACTACTCCAGATATTGTGACTAGTGCCGAGTCTTCTATTATGGGAGGTGCATTTGAAGCTCGGTTCCAGCAGAAGAGAAAGGAGCAACTTGAGAGGGGGGGGT